TTTTCATATCAGTATTAAAATATTTATTACATTTTTTATACATAGCAATTGCCAGCTAATTTCTGAATATAAAGAAGAAAAGATACATGAAAATCCTTCTCAACGTAGCAATTCAGGTAAGACTTTGATAGTGAATTACTCTTGGTGGTCCTACCATACATAAAAAAGGAAGAGTAAAGACTTTTTTGATCACAAAAGAGCAGTTAAAAAAAAAATCAACTTGTAGGCAGGCCCTGTGGCTCACGCCTATAATCCTAGCACTCTGGGAGGCCAGGGCCGGAGGATCACTTGAGCTGAGGAGTTCCAGACCAGCCTGAGCAAGAGCAAGAACCTGTCTCTACTAAAAATAGAAAAAGATTAGCCAGGTATGGTGGCACATGCCTGTAGTCCCAGCTACCTGGGAGGCTGAGGCAGGAGGATCACTTGAGCTCAGGAGTTTCAGGTTGCTGTGAGCTGTGATGACACCACTGCACTCCAGCCTGGGCAACGGAGGGAGACTCTGTCTCAACACAAAAATCAATTTGTAAATGTATATTGTTTCTTAATTTCTTTCTCAGTACTCTAGAATTTAGAATTATATAAGAAGTTAGTTGTAGGTAATTTATAATCTCAAACAGTATTATCTGGAAAAAAAAACAACTTTTATTTAATTTTGGTCCCTAAAATCCTTTATGAAATTTTTGCATAAATAAGAAAAAAGATTTTTGAGTTAGTATGTTGTTTTTTTATAGTCACATTATAACTAATTGGACTTGTTATAAAAATTGATCTATCTAATTTTTATAATAAACAGATTACGTTTAGGAGAATGTTAATTACAGTTGACCCTAGAACATCACAGGGGTTAATCTGTGTATAACTTTTGACTCCCTGAAAACTTAACTTCCAATACCCTCCTTTGACCAGAAGCCTGACAGATAATATAAATCGTCAGTTAACACAATTTTTATGTCAGATATATTTTGTTTTTTAAATTTTTTTATTTTTGTTTTTTCGTTGT